TTTAGCTAGTTTAGCATTTGTCTTTTTCATTATGTTTGTCTTATTTTTTGTTGTATTCTATTTTCATGTAGCATATCTTGCAAACCTTATATATGTAAATATTTGTTGTACTAACTTTCTCCGGCTCTAAGATGTCACCTCACTGGACAATCAGTTGATTTTATTTTTCCATTATCATAGACTTGACTTCACATTAGCAATTAATTTGAAAAATCAATACTTTGTAAATGAAAGGATACATCACCAGACAAAATATCATGATAATATGCTGTATTGATTTTTTCTCCCACCCCCAAGAGTTTCCCTTTGCAATTGTGAGGTACATTAGAACGTTAGCTTTAGCTTGTGCAAGTATAAGCTAAGTTTTCAAACATGAAGCTAAGAGGCAGGCCCGCGGATGAGGAGGTCAGCTGTTACCTGTCTTGGAGGACCGGTATTCCCCGAGATGGGATTTCAGGAACTGGCCGGTGTCTCAGGCGGTAGGAGCGAGTCAGCCGTGGACCTCCAGGGGCCGCAAAACTGGGCTGCGTCCCATAAATGGAGTTCTCCACCATTTCCCCTGAAAATCCTCCCAGGTCTTCAGTGGGGATTTCAGCAGAACAGGGCATGGACTCAGCGCTGGACAGTGAAGGTTCCTCTGGAGAGATCTCCCAGTCTGACGGCATGTCTGAAATGGAGAGCGACTCACTGCTGCTACTGGAGCTGGAAGACACGGTGGTAAAGTTCTTGGTGAAGTCAGGCATGGGTGCACCGATGTTCTCAGGGTTTCGTGGGGTAGGTTGAGGTGGGCGTTGGTATCTACGGTCTTGGGCACTCTCAGTTTCTGTACCAAGCCCTCCTGCTCCTGGAGGCAAAGTCTGACTCCCCTCTAAACCACTGTCCTTTTTCTCCTTTGGCTGACGGTTCTGACAGGAAACCCCCCTCTTCTTATCCTTCAAGAAGACATGCCTCGGATGCGGCACCGGCTTCCTCCGCCGCCCTATCCCATGTTCTTCATCTTCCTCTTCCTCCTCACCACTCTGCGGCTTCAACCCAAGTGCTTCCAAACTGCGGAGGATGCGCCTACGGTGGCCTGTTGGGAGCACTTGTAGCTCCAGGAGGCGTTCGTCAGTGAGGTCTTTGCAATCTTCTAGTGCCTGATAGCCTCCTTGAAGGAAACATGAAGCGTACTGGCTGAGGCGAATGGTGGACAACCACTCCTCGACCTCGTTGTTTGGCTCTAGAGGCTCCGACATGATGCTTTAGAGCCAACACTGCCACATCAGGAAGAACTTCAGAGGATTTATTGGCCCATTTTAAAGCTGTAGATACAAGAAGAGGAAGATTGAAGTTACAACAACAACTCTGACTTTGACCTTCTTCTAACATTTGAGGAATGATTCACTTTAAACTCATGCATCGGTCCAACAAGTGAGAATTAAAAGGGTAGAGGAGGAGCTGGTCCTGCTTTATATTTTGGTGAACAAGGTGGTGTGAAAAAAGTTGTGGTTTCCAAGTCCAGGAAGTCACAACAGCAGTCAAGAAATGGTTTAGACATAAACCGCAGAAGAAAACCACCATAGTGTCTCTTGTCAGTTTTGGTTCTTGCACAGGTTGAACATGAGAAAGCGCAGCTTACTGTCTGCTAAAATGTAGAAGCTTAAGTTTAAAATGTGCCAGCCGACAACAATTTGCAACACTCCTAAATGAAACAGCAGGAAACAGCAACAGATGTGAGGAAATTACACACCGTCAAAATAATGTAGACGCACTCTAGTCCGGTTTTAGTCGAAAGCTTAAATTACAGTCTGACAAAACTGAAACCCTGCTCAGAGATTAACTGATACGTGGATGACATAAGAATTTACCTTTAGGTCGACATGCAGCAGTGGGTAATAATTCAACATCTCTTCGTCCTCATGCTTTCACACCATTGTTTCTAAACGAACCACCGATGTTTTTCTCTCCACATCTCCTCTCAGTCATTCTCACACTTGTAAGTCACAGGAAGGTACATCATCATTAACATATTGCTTTGTCCACTTCTCTTTTGAGTTGCACACTTACAGTACGCAGGGACATAAAGTGTCACTTCTGCTTTCAAGTTAACGCTCTCTTCCAGCAAAGTGTATGCATGAGTTTTTTTTTCTTCTTGAGCTGACTGCAGTTCACAGAACACACAGGAACAGGCATAATCTTGGTTATTAAACAATCTAGCCGGACTACCTCTTCCCCTGTCATTGATTTTGTGCGAGATTAAGAGATGTCTTTTATAGCGGATGCTGCTTGAATGTCAAAGTACTTCCAAAGCCCTTAGCTCCACATAAACCTGTATCAAGTACTCATAAAAAGACCCTGCCCAGTCCATCAGTTTAGCATTGTTTTGTTAGACCTGTATTGGCAGAGGCACACGTCAAAGCTCGCTAGCCTCATTCGACCCGGCCTTTTCCTCATCTCTGCTCACACACAACACAGAAAGCTACACACCACAGAGCCCTCACGCCCTCCTGGTGTCAGAGCCCACAGAGTGTGTGGATCAATAGTGGTGAGCGAAAAGAGAACTTCACATGATAAGCAGTCCGCACAGGCCAGAGGAGCATGGGAACGTGTACAGCAGTGTGAGTGCAGCAGACATGAAGCTGCATCTACGAGTGAAACACAAACAGGTCATTTGTGAACATAACTATAGGGGATGATGTGAAAACGGGACTTTGACACGAAAGTGTGAGAGGCCCGGCTGGCTCTTGCACAGGGCAAAAACGTTGCATTTGCATCACTTTTGAGAATTTTGCTTTCGTGGTTTCCACTGGTCATTTTGCAACTTTTTGTTGCAGCCTTGAGTCCTCTTGTTGTGTTTCTGCATCCTTCTGCAGTTGTTTTGTGTGTATTAGTTGTTCAATTTTCAATAAATTTCTTTCAAATCTTGAGGTTTTGTGTCTCTATTTAATTGTTTTTGGATTTCTGCTCATTTGCGTCATGTTTTTTTTTTTTTTTTGCATCTCTTTGTGGTTGTTCTCAACTTTGCTGTTGTTTTGTATCTCACTGCAGTTGTTTCCAGCTCAGTGAAGCTATTCATCTTTTTGCAGTTATTGTAAGTGTCTTTGTAGATGTTAACATCCTTTTGTGTCTTTTTGCTTCTTTTTCTGTCATTTTTAACTGTTCAAAGTTGTCTTTCTGTAGCCATTGTAAGTTATTTTGCATTAACTTTTAGTTGTTGCCAGTTCTTTGTTGTTGTTGTTTTGCAACTCTTTGTATCTTCCTGACTTGGGTCCAACTCTAGGTAGTTATTTTGTGTCAGTTTGTTGCTTTGTTGCTTTCGGCATTTGTTTAGTTCTTATTTTTCTAGCTATTTTTTAAATCTTTCCATACCTTTTTGTTTTTCTTTTACATTTAAATTTTCTTATCTTTCTGTAATTGTTGCATCTGTTTTGAATTTCTACCTTCTGGCGTTGCTTTCAATTTTTTAATGCATTTAAATCTCTTTTTTATATCGTCTGCATCTCCTTCTGTTTGTCCTGTGCCTACTTATAGCCATTTGTGCCTCTGATAAAGTTATTTGTAGATGTTTCTTCCCCTTTCTGTTCATTTCACATGTCTTTAAAAATGTTTTTGCATTTCTCATTGTCTCTTTGCATCTCTTTGAAGGTGTTCTGAACTTCTCTTTCATGACTCATCTCTTTTATGGTTAGTTTTTATGTCTCCGTAGTCTCTTTGTGTCCTTTACAAATTTCTCTGATTGTTTGACTCTCTTTCAGTCAACTTTTTGATCTCTTTACCGTTGTTTTTTTGGGTCTCTGTACTTCCCATTCAGAAGTCTATGCACATACCGCTCTCGTCACTGACATACAATTGGACAGCAATTTATTAGAGCATGCAATTGTTCCCCCTACACAACAAAACTAGGTTATGACTGAAAGCATGGCTGTCAGCACAAAAGAAATGTGTTACACCCACTGCACACCAGCTTCCAACACACCACACAGGTATGGTTATATATTAAAGAAGTGAGTCACAGAATGCACGCCCATGCATGCACATTATCAACAAACACTCCTACCTCATGCTCCTGCACATCTCATCAAGGAACTTGAGCAAAGTCCAATTTGTGGGCCCTTCCTACCCTTGACAGTGTGTTTTCTATATATTTATTTTTTTTTAGTATTTAACATAAACCTAGTTTGAAGCGTTTTCAGGTGACTGTGACACAAATTAGCTCAGGGATAACCTTTAAAACTGTTGTGTAAGAGTTGAAATGTTAAAACTTCTTAAAACTAAACGTGGTCATTCATTCAAAGCTGAAGCAACACGTTTGCACGTGCCACAGGTGCTCATTTTTGCGTTAACTCTTACTGGAAAAAGATATTACATCATTTGATATAATGAAATAGACGTCAAGTTAAGTCTGACTGACGTGGTTTCAGTTTAACTTCTACCGCACTTGCTCTAAAACACTTGTATTGATACTACAGAGACGCAAAACACACGACGCCTAACGCTAACTCATTTTATGCTAGTTTAATCAGTCTCGTGCGCCTCATCTTGTTACACCAAACATAAACACAACGTTCGAAATCTGCTGACGTAACGCGCTGCCACGCGCATGGCGGTTGAGAGCTTACCCGCGGGTTAAAAAACGGGGTGCAAACCTCAGGGCATCGTCTCGTGAGTCCACTTTCAGTCACATTAGTCCGCGCGGTGCGTCTTGCTTGCCTGTCCGGAGCCCCCACAGCGTGCTTTTTGACGCTCCTCTTGTTGTTTCCGTTCCCTGTTGACTCACGCGCTCAAGGTAACACCACGCCCACCTCAGGGGGTTCAACGCTTGTCCTCATCTCACTTTCATTAATGCACCTAAAAATGCGCCAAACACTGAATTACTGATGCCCTGAACCCTGTTTTAATCAGTGTACACTCACTTGAGCGTCTTTTATTAGAAACTCTGCTCTGACTGAGAGTGTCTTTTTCCTCTAAAGTGCGCTGTAATGTGATATGCGCCACAGGACAGCAGAGTGGAAGCACTTGGGATGTTTTCCTGGGAAAGACGTGCAGGTCCCAGCTTGATCCTGAAGGCCCCGGGCTACGCATTCAACACAGACAGGAATGCAGCAGAGTGCCAGGTACATTAAATGGGGCGAGACCTGCAGAAAGAGGACACTGTGTTTCATCATCATTATCTATTATCGTGTGTTTTTAGTAGACTGTAGCTCACTATACACCATTACTGCATTATCATAAGAGAAACTGGTTTGACAAACACTATAGGATTATATATGTGCTGGACAGAATGACATCTTTTGGCATACAAACATTCAAGAATATTATGCATGATTATGATAAATAATCTTAAAATGACATTTGAATATCAGGTTTTCATTTTAACTTTTTATATCTATATATATAGGTCTTAGTATCTGTCTGTCTTAGAATAAATGGTACAAGAGAAGTACACCTATTTTGCCACATGATGGTGCTACATCACCATCACTTCCTGTAGACAGCAGCTGTGTGCTCAAGCAATATTTGAGGGACCGAGAGCCAAATATAAATAAGAAATTTATGCTTCTGTTTTCGCTTTTTTTCACAGTTATAAGTGATTTTCCTTATTCCACAAGAGAGTCTTTGTTCTTCCTATCATGACCAATCCTATGCATGTCAAGGTTGCATTGGATTTTTTGTATATCAAAAATATTTAAACAACAAATTGGTGCAAAGAATTGAACAAAAAATAAGAATGAAATCAGAAATACATAATTTAACATTTTTTATTTTGACTGTTAAAAAACGTATTCACATACAGTTTATCTTTAACTGTTGTTTTTATTTCTATTTATTTATCATTTCTTAAATTTTATTTTATGTTACTTTGGTTTTAGATTGTAAGCCTCAAGCGTTTCCTTACCTTGAATTTTAAGATGGCGTTTCCTCAGTGCGCACATTCCTGTTTATATGACTGGAACCTTTTTAAGTTCATGTATTTTAATACAGGTTTCTATTGTGCTTAGATTGTGGGGTGGGAATGAGGGGTTGGGTTGGGCTAGATTAGGGTTTTCTTTGTTTCTTTTATTCCTCTGCTATGTAAAACACTGTGCTACATCTTTTTTGTATGAAAAGTGACATATAAATCAAGAATGATTGATTGATTAATTAATTGATTGCTACAGTTTAAATGAACTCAGCCAGATCTATTCAGTATTACATAATAGTCCTAAATGTTAGATCGCCTTTTCTTTGATGCCTAAATTATCAGTTTGGACTTCATCAAACCTAAACCCAGGTTATAGCCCTAATATCCAACAACCCAACTTCCTTTTGTGTTTTGTTTCAGTGAACCTTACCCTTCCTTATAACAGGTAACATCACATATCATAGACTCATTTCTTTATGTATTGTCATCTGAAGCCTACGCCTTTAGCAGAGGACCTGAGTACTTCTCCTCTTATTGGTGTCTGAACTGTAAACCCAGAAATTCCTCAGGAAGCCTATAAAATGTAAGTCAACAACCTTATCATAAATTCACATTAGCCCTCACAAAAAAGACACAATACTGTATTTAGAAAAAGAACATAATGTAAAAACCATCACAGAGTATATATTCTCAATATGTTTCACTGATTTAGTTGGTTCAAGTTTCAGAGCTGACATCTTTTACTGTCCAAACATACAAGCAGTAAAATGACTGACAGCCTCGTAGTCTGTCTTCCTGTCTCTTCCTCTTTTGTCCCTCCTCGCCACGCCTCCAGGGGTCGCCTTGGCAACATGTTTTACTGCTGGCAGCCGTAGAACTACAGCATTGGCTCCTAAAACTGGGAAAGCTGTACACAGCAAATTTCAATGCCAAGGACACAGCAAAGCGAGACGAGGGGGCTTCAAGCTTCAAAAGCAAGAGGAGGTACGCGAGAGAATTAAAGGTATTTTCAGGGATTTTTTTATTTATTTACAAAAATTTAGTTAAAGGAGCAAATTTGGAGAGTGAAAGCAGGCCAAATTAGACCCATCGGACTCTTTTCTCTGGTGTTTTCCTGCTCAGTATGGATAAAAAAGTACACCAAAATCCACAGATGGAAGAAGCTGACTCTCCTCATGGCAGGAAGACTCTCCTGCAAATGTTGACTGAAACTTTTGGGAGGCTTGAAGCTGTCAGACGCTGCGGAGATCATCGTAATGAGACAGTGGGAGGAATACAAAGTACAGGAGAAGAAATTGAGAGAGAGAGTAGAGGAGGAGGAGGAGATGGGATTCACAGTGGAGTAGCACATGATGAAGAAGGAGATGGAAAAAAGGAGAAAGAGGAGAGGGAGTGCAAGAAAAAAATTGTGGGGGTGATGACAGAGCTGAGTGTTTTTCATAGAGAGAGAGTGACAGCATGGAGACAAGTTCTCCACATGTTGCAAGAGGCTCCACCAGGGGGCAGTGAGGAGCGACACCCATCTGAAAATGGTGAGTATGGTTGATTCTGGTCTAATCGTTCAGCACATAGATATTATATACCTAGACGCCTCATTACACGCTGGAGCGTAATCCAGCGGTGCCGCCATGTTGGATGGGTCTCTCCACTCCAGGCTCACTCAAGAGCCAAACGGGGTCAATGGAGAACAAACAACTATGCTCTTATTTTTACACTCTATGGTTGAAAAACCCGATGCAGTATTGAAACCAGATCACGTAGCCCTACATTTCACAAATACCATTGAAAAATAATTTGGTTTAATTTTAATGTGTGACATTGTCCTGTATCATGGCTACATCCCTGTCGTTGTAACAAACCAAACAGTGTGAAAATCGGGCAGACATTTGGGGAGTTATTACCTCCGCCAAGGGGGTTATGTTTCCAGTAGCGTTGGTTTGTTTGTTTGTGAGTTTGTTTGTCTGTTAGCAACTTTACGGAGAAAGGTGTCAAAGGTTGATCCTGATCCAGACAAAATTCCGGATACTGTGATCCAGAACACACAAAAATAAGGGTGTTGTTGGAATTTTCAACCAATGGACGGCACAGTGGTGTAGATAGGCGGCACAGTGGTGTAGTGGTTAGCACTGTCGCCTCACAACCATAAGGTCCTGGGTTTGAATCCGGGTCAGGGCATTTCTTGTTTTAGGAACATTATGAACAGTGAACATACCAGTTTAAACACAAATAAAAGTTAATAAAAGACACGTAACAGTAAAAGTTTTGGTGTGAATCACAATATAAGGGGGGACATAAACTGCTTGGTGGAGGTCTGCGCTCTCCGAGTGCTTTTCTAGTTAATAATATGGTTGGGCATTCCCACCTATCTTAATGCACTGGAGGCGGATGGGGGACTCATCCAAGATGGCGGCCCAGCTGATACATGAGCTCCAATAGGCAACGTCAGGCTTTGAGGCGTCTACGTATACTATGTCTATGGTTCTGCAAATGCTCCTGTGTTCAATAAAAATGTTGTGTAGTATATCACCATGTGACACCGACCCTGATAGTGGTTGTAGGAATTAAAAATTAGCAAAAAAAAATTCACTTACAAATTAAGTTTTGTTTTAGTGAGATATTATACTGTCATCTGTTTTGTTCCAGGTGAAGAAGGTGGAATCATACTATCTTCAGACACCTTCACTGATACTATCCTGGAGGTTAAAGAAGACATACAGAACATTATCGACATACTAAACTCAATCATCATGAAGCTGGACAAAGAAGTTCTTATATTGTCCACCCAGAATCCTTTAACCGAGAGTGGAGATCCACAAGAACTAGAGCAACCTGAAGATGACAAGAAACTCTACCATGATGCTCTTGAATCTGACTCTGGGCAAAAACAAAGCAGTGAAGCCGGAGACGGTCAAAGTGAAACAAAGCCATCACCGGACACTGTGAAAAATTCAGATAACAGGTTCTGCGAGTCAGACTGCAGCAAAGTGGAAGAGACGGAGAGAGAAGAAGCTGTCAAAGGTCATGGGAGTGATAATGAAGACTGTGTTTCTCCAGACGGTCAGAGGGATTCCCAGGAAGAGACCAAAAAGGACTTAGATGTGGTCAAAGACGAGGGACAAGAAGGTAGAAACAACAAGTGGACCACAGTCGGGTGAGTTTTTAATGACTTCATTTAAATCTGTGCATCATGATCTGAGTGATTTTTGGTTCATTTATCGGTTTATGATGATTTTCAGGCTCACTGGTCGACATGAGGGCACAGGTTCAAACGTCCAGGATGCATGTTTCATTAAAGCTCCTGCAGGTGTGGCTGAACTCCTCAAGTGTGAGGTGGCGGACGACCTCAGCTGCCTGATGGTGACCGGCTCGGAGGAGCTGGTCAGTAGGGTAATAAGAGTTGAAGTCCAGGATGGGGCTAACTTTCACTTCCCTGTGACTTTGGTCGTACCTTTCTGCGCACGTTACCGCGGCACCTACAGGGATTTTACAGTGAAGATGATCGACGGGGAGAGGAGGGCAAGCTACGTCACTCCTGTAACAACAGAAGGGACGTATGGAGGGCAGAGGGTAAGGTTTTCTGTTGATTGTTGAGTTCTCTTCTTCTTCAATGTCTTTACAATAGCTAGCCAAACTAACGACATGGTCTTCGTAGCTTGTTAAGAACAGTCAGGCTGAGCTGAAATAAGACAGTCTGGTCAACAAAGAACTTCCTGTTTGCATCACAAGTGTCACATTACCTAGCAACAGATGGCTAATGGTGCGTTTAAGTTACCTCAGAAGTCAGAAGTCCGAGGTGAAAATGACGTCACACCCAAGGCCCCGCGTTTCAGCTACCAAATCAGAAAAAAGCAAAATCAGAGGAAGAAACAAGATGGCTACATCTACAAAAGGTATTTTAGCGTTTACCTTCTCTGAATATAAGGCAAGCGCTAAAATAACTTTCGTAGATGTAGCCATCTTGTTTCAGGCCTTCAATTTCGTTTTTTCCAACTTGGTGACTGACACACTTGGAACTTGGGTGTTACGTCATTTTCAGCTCCGACATCTGACTTCTGAGGTGACTGGAACGCAGCAAAACTAACTAACATAGCTAGTGTTAGATTAGTTATTTAAAACAAATTCAAGTGTCACAGTGTCTGTTTTTTTGTAATTTAAACATTTTCATGACTCGCTAGTTCCTTGAGTTGAAACCTAATGCTAATATTTAACAGTGTATTACGAAGCCCGGGGAAAAGTACGACATATTTGTCGGCTGAAGTTGAGGGAGCTTGCACAGTCTTACAACTAAATGAAATGAATTAAAAGGCTTTTAACCATCTTAGCTGGGCTAAGATGGTTAAGTATAGCATTTCCCATGTGACTTTTTGGTGTGTGTTTTGGGCCTTTAATGACTTCAGGTGGTAGTGCAGTTATGATAAGCATTCATTAGTCATAATTCATGTCCACATAGATTATTGCATCATCTGCAGATAAACAAACATTTTCTAAAAATTGCAAAACAGAAACGGTTCTAATATAGAGCCCTGTGGTGCAACTTTGGAGACTTTGAATTTGTACTTTGTCGTTAAAGCTCTTTCAGTTCAAGCAGTTTTTGGAAGCGAGTTAAAGGGACATTCCGGAGTAAAACTAAGTTAGGGTCAAAAACACTGTAACAAGCGGTCGGCAACATTCATCTCTCAACGGGGTGTCTAACATGATGTTAAGGTGTGTTTGATCCTAACTTAATTTTATGCCGGAATATCCCTTTAACACAATGTTACTTTTAATTCAGAAAGTTATTTAAGTTGGTAAAATTATGTCAACACTTATCAAAAAAGGACTGGAGTAACCTTGTTTAGACAGGAGACAAATTTGTAAATAATATTATCAGCATAAAAAACGATATTCCTATGTAAATTGTAAAGTAGGAAAGGCACTAGCACTGGGCCCTGTGGTGCACCTTTGTATATTTCAGTTTTAAACTCTGTCCTGTCTGAAACACCATTTCCAAGCCAACCATCTTCAGCCTTTTTTGAAACCATTTCTTTAATCTGTGCTTGTTTGTGAAAGACTCAAAAGCTGCAATTATCAAGGGGAGAAAATGTTTTGCCACTTCTACTCACGCCGAATTGATTATATGAATTATGTGGTGTTGTGTTCTTTTTCAGGGCTCTTTCGCAGAGGTGAAAGTGTACTCTTTGGGCCTGTTTGCTGTTATCTCCTGTCTAAAAAGAGAAAATTACACCGTACCCACAAAAGGTTTGTCACTCAAGCTTCCCATGGACCACCGAATCTGCCTGAATTATCTACCGGGATCCTTCACTGCCCCAGTAATGGCTCAAACCATGGTAGGGAGACAAAGATCTGATGCCTTCGAATATACTTAAATATAAGCAAAATGTTTACTGAGCTTGTAAGTTTTTTAGTGCGTAGAAATATCTTGTTAGATAGAGACAAAAACTCAAATAAAGGACTCCTGACAAAACTGAAACTAAAATATATGAAGGGGAGGAAGGATATAACACCAGAGAAGGAGACTAACTGATTATAATTCACAAACTCGATCTCACAGATGTTTGCCGCGAGGTAGAAAAACGAACAGCTGCAGCCAATATTTGAATTGACTCTGAGTTCAGTCATCTGTGAACCAGCTCCATCACTGCAGCTTGTTGTTTGATCCTCCGTCAAAAACCCAAAGTTCCCTTTCTGCATGCCTCATTTTGGTACAGCGGCGTGCTCTCAGCAAAAAAAAAAAAATGTCTGTATATCAAACAGAATCTCGTCCTGAAACTCTGCCTAGATTTTGTCGAACATCTGTTCCCTCCTCTGACTCAGATCCAGCCCATCGAAGCTGTCCTTCTGGCGGCTGTGAAGTCCAGAAGCGATGTCTATCATTCGGTCGTATCTACGAGTCCATTACTCTACCTGACTCACCCATCCTCACTGCCACTCAGAAGACCCCTCACTGTGACCCTTCCCTGTCCGCCAAATCCCAAGAAGAGGACGCACAGAGGAGTTCAAGTGGAAGATCAAGACCAGAACATTTGGCATGATAGAGCGTCCCCAACTTGGGATCAACCTGCCTCCCAAAGAAGAAGGTACGTTTCATGTGGCAAAATGCAAAGATTAGGTAGCTAGTAGGCCTGCACGATATGTCGTTTGAGCATCGTCATCGCGATGTACGTGTGTGCGATAGTCACATCATAGAGCCTGCGATGTCGGAAGTGAATGAACTCAGTTAATTTCAAGGGTAGCTGACTGAAATACACTGCATGTGACTCTGCATGTGCTTTGCAGCGATCCACCAATCACCTTCGTCCTTAACTCAGTTGCCAATCAGACTCAGTTCTCAGTTGCCAATCAGTTTACCCTGCCAGCTGTCAATCAAAATCAGAGAGGAGGAAACCCACCCCTGCACATGTTCTGCACATGGAGGTACTCGCTGCAGCTACCGGAGTTGAGCCGAGAAACGCGTGTCCGCTGAGAATTACTTTCGGAACATTCTTCATCACTGTTTAGCCCAAAAAATAAGAACTGTATGTGTTTTAAATTGTACATTTCCCTGGACGACTCTACTATAAGCAGTATGCGCTTTGTGAGGTGCATGCAATTCTCGGAGGACATGCGTTTCTCAGCACCCCGGTAACAACAACTATCGCAAACTGAGCAACGAACAAGAGAAAACCACCGAAAATGAAGATTTGTTGCCAAAAAGAAAAGGAAAGTCAGTTAGCTGGAATTATTTCGGTTACAAGATGGATAATGTCGACCAAAACATTGTCTTCTTTGTTCATCTGTTGCCACAATAACGTCCCAGAACAATAAAAGCTAAAAATATCTCTGAGACAGACAGAAGCCGTTCTACTAACACTCACAAAAAGAGGTAAGATCAGTGCAGGTTAACCGTCCTCAAGATTTCAGCAGTGCAGCATAACATTAAGTGCTATTCAGGTCATCTGGTGAAAATTCCTGTATTTTTTAATATCACAATATATATCGCAGGGTTGAAAATATCGCAATGTTAGTTTTTTCCAATATCGTGCAGCCTTAGTAGCTAGCATGCTTATCTGGTGATGATATTAGCATAGCTGCTAGCATAATTTCATGTCGCGGTGTGAAGATGTTTCATTCTGTCCTTGCTCCGACAGGATCCTAGGTGGCTCTTTAAGGTCTAAAGAGACGTCCTGTGAGCTTCTGGCTGTTTTAGGTTCAACAGACAAACAGTGGAGCATCCTGGATAAAGTCACAGTCAGAAACCAGCAGAACGGAGTGGTATCCTTTGAGCTGACGGAGAACTTTGAGAGGTTTGTAACACAACACGGGCGTCTAACACCAACACATGAGGAGATATTAGCCGATCTGTTGTTTACAAGCTAAACTCAAAGCACTTTTAGGTTTTATTGCAGATTTATAAAAACAGACCAGATACACAACATGTTTGCAAGACTGAATATACTGCCTTATTGGATATAACAATGGTAGCTCTAAATCTGAAGCGTAGGCTACAAGGAGCCACTGCTAAGGGGCAAAGTAAAACTAATATGGTAATCTGATCTATACGGAGCCTTGAAGAAGTGGTCTAGACCAGTTGGAGGCAGATTTAAATGGTAATATGAATTAAATATGAATGTATGGATGATTTCTCTTAGTTGGATACAAAGAAAAGGTTCCTACCTCAAAAGAGAGTTGAAGAAGTGAGGATTTGTTTGGCCTAATTGTGAGTAAACCCAGTGCTGAGTCTATTGACACTGAGATTTGACGTTATGAGGAAAATTAGCCTTGAATAAAATGTTATTATGAGTCAAACTACAAGTGTAGCACTCAGTGGATTTTTTCTTGCACCTTCAAACCAAAATAAATCAAAGCAAAAACTGAAACATGAGGCAAATACATCCAAAGAAAGAGAACAAAAAGCACCGACAAGAGCAGGTTCAGTCTTGAAGTGGAACACCTATTTGTAGTTTCATCAGATCTGAGGTCGATTTGTCCGATTTTTGGACTCAGAAGAAGAAATATCTGAAAAAAATATAGTGAAGTATGAAAAGAAAGACAGAAACACCAACCAGTGAATGCAAAAATGAAAAAATCTCTCACCACGTCTCCGTGTGCTTGTGCCTCTCTGCCAAAGGTGATCAGCCACTGCAGCTGGTTGGCTGTTTTGAAGGATTTTAACTTGCTGCTGTTGCTGTCAATGCAAAGTATGAAGACGGTCCACCTCCTCACATCGTAAATGAGTATGTAGAAAAATCTGCATCTGAACACAGAAGGAAAAAAACGCTCAAACATTCAATATATTACACAAACAGGAAACCAAAACAGTCTTTTAAATTATGTACCTTCTCATGGAGATACTATTGTCAGGAAAAGACTTCAGGTTCAAGTTTAAAACCTTCAAATCAAGAGTTTCTTGGAGTGTTTTGGTCATATCAAGAAGACTGTTGAGACTAGAACAGATATAGAGATTGGGAAAATCAGAAAAAAAAAAAACATTGAATACAAAAACAATGTGAAAAATTAAATTCTTGAACACCTTTCAAAGAAGTACAGCCTTTTTGGTTTCCGTTTTGATGAGGACTTTGCCTGCGAAAAGAAACAAATACGTTCATAAATTAGACCAAAATATGTCCAAATTTAAAAATGAATTGATAAAATGTTTAAAAAATGAAGAATTTTAATGTTTTAGCTTTAAAAAGCATCAAACACCCATAAATAATACAGTGTTATGTTTAAAGCTCCAGTAAGGAGTTTTTCCATGTTTATGAAATTAAGTGAAATTCATACTGGTGTCTTTTCATGATCTACAAAAGCAAACAAAACCATGAGCAACAAGATTGATGATTTTTAAAGCATAATTTTAACGTCTTAATCTGATGCGAGTGGGTCGGTGTCAGCCTAGCTTAAAAAACAACCCTGTCTTCATTCACAATAAGTGATTTATTTGACCATTGGAAAATAGCAGATGAGATCTTTCTCCACAAGGGGGCGCCAAAACTGACACAAATAAGTGTTAATATGAATATATTCAAGTAGATATGTTTTCTTACAACTTGTTGGCAGTTGAAGCCCATGAGTCTGACAAGTGTGTCTGAAAGTCGCAGCAGGGCAGCAGGACTCTGCGCTGTCCTCACGGCCACATCCACACACTGACTGGCAGCAGTGACCGACACCAGGAGTCCTCCCACCACATACAGGAGGTGGACCACATTACCCCTGCCCACAGAAACAGTCGATTTAGTTTGTAGTGATGTGAGTTTGCTCAAAATCTGAAGTTTGGAAGTCATCTAAAAATCTTACTTGTGGGCAAAGAGCTCTGGTGGAAACTTAAACATGAAGAAGTTTGACGTGTGAGGACCCAATTTACAACTCTGTAAACAAGAAATGAAGAACATGTAGATATTCACACTCCATATAAGGTTAAATTTTCACTTATCTGTTCATGTCTTGATAAACCAAACGTCAAATACAAAGAAATTTTACCTCTCATGCCGCTGCTTTCCCTTCCCTCCTTGGTTTTATTCCTTTCATCACGCTCAGTCCTCACACACAATGACCTTAAGAAAAGAAACGTAGAAAAACTACTACTACTAAGTAACTCGACTTATGGTGGGCTTGTCTTTACATAAGGGGTTTAAGAAAGGCAGCAGAGGTGGATAAAGAGGGGCTGAAATACTTTGAATTCTTCCGTGTTGTTAAATCAACCCCTGAAAGAAAATCTGATTTACTTTCTGTTTTTATCGTAAATTAAATAGGAATATTAGTCCTACTTATAGATTGTGCACCGCTCCCTTAATAAGGATGGATGATTCTTATTATTTCTAATTCAGTCTTATCTAAAACAACTTCCCCCAGAGGATAATCTATGTACAGGAGGTAATGTGATTAATTCTGTCTTTAAGTATATCAAGCCTGGACTAAAGTCAAAGATAACAGACTCTTCCTTCTATTCAGCAGTTATCTAATCTCTACTCTAAGCTCCACGTCTTAATGTTTCTTATTCCTTCCTCTCAGACTGCTGGTGGTTCGGTTCCTCTCCCCCCTGCAGCCTCATCACCTTGTCTCCCTGGCAGAGGAGCTGGAAGAGTCGATCTGCAGCCACGCAGTCACCATCATCCTCCAGAGAAAACCGGATGACCCGCACGCTGTCCTGACCGCCGTCCTGCCCAGCAGGGACCTCAACTGGGAGCTGACCAAACTCAAAGCGCAGGGCTACGGCGGCCTGCCAGAGATCTCCTCAGAGATCTCGATGTGTGAGGGAGACCAGCTTCTGCTCAGTTTTAGCGGCAACATTGCGTCCAAAGGCAAGTTACGAAGCTGACTTTATCTGTCATTGAAAAACTAGCTTACATCACGCTGCTCACTACCATAGACTGTATATAGAATGGACGCTGTCTGCCTCCTCGCTGGGTGAATCCACTACGAGAACAGCACCCTCTCCAGCAAAGCTTTTGGAGCTGTTGATTAACTTCAGAAATTTATTACACAGAACATATATTTTTTCCCCCCTGCTTGCGATGTTGACATGTAGTTACTGTAAGCAACATCAACATAGCGACTCTCTGCGACTCCCGCCAAATGCGCACAATGCTACTGCACAAGTGGTGGAGTGCGTACAACGCTACTGCGCAATGTTTGTTTCAGGATGTGGAGAAAAATGCGGAATTAACGTGAGCTTTTCGGCTTCAAACCCGTGTACAAGCAGAAGGCGGAATCAAGTTGTTCATAGTTTATACAGTCTATGCTCACTACTCGCTTTTACTGTCTCCACACACCAAGCGCGAGTGAAGTCATTCGCGCGAATGAATTACATGTTAATTCAATGCAAAGACGCGATTAGATGCTCCGACTACTCTGGCGGTGTGAATGATGCAAGTTGTTGCTTTGCTCATCGTTTATCCTGTGTTCGGTTGCTTCTGTCTGGTTGCTATTGGTTTCGCTGGGTTTGGGTCACATGGGCACTGTGTTTGAAAGCTGATGGTTTATATGAGGGGCGGTCTTACCTGCACTGGGGTGGAGAGGTGAGCCTAGTTAGTTGTAATTTTTGTTGACCGCGTTTTACGTTCTTTGTTTGCAATGAAACATGTCGCAAAGTGTACACATATTACATCGGATGTGGGCGTGTAATCATTGGTCACTGTGGAAGCGTTTTTTCTGATATTAAAGCTCCAAAAACTTCGATGATCTGTGGGTGCCTCTTTGGAACAGCAGCAGCAGCGTGTCACGCAAATAAAGAGAACCTATGCTCTGCCTCAAGAGACTTTTTAAAGGTCCTAGGAAAGCCGCAATATTGGGCGTGAGCTGAAAATGTCTCAACTTGAGCGGATATTTGCGTCGTGATAACTAATCAGCACAAAGGTTGCCATGTGACGTATGAAAACGGACGGTTTTTCACTGGCATCTAAAATGGAGGACAAGCTGATCGTCTTTAAATTACTGAAACCGGAATAAAAAGGGAGCTCACCTGGAGGAAAGTGAGTTCGGAGGTCGGATTACCCGGTAAATTGTAAAAAACCTTCGTCTTGATCCTGGGTGAATGAAGCAACTATTACTACTACTATTCATTCACGGGTCTTAATTCGCGCGAATGAAGCGAGTAATAACTATTCATTCACGGGTCTTAATTTGCGCGAATGAAGCGAGTAAAAACTATTCATTCACGGGTCTAAATTCGCGCGAATGAAGCGAGTAATAACTATTCATTCATGGGTCTAAATTCGCGCGAATGAAGCGAGTAATAACTATTCATTCACGGGTCTAAATTCGCGCGAATGAAGCGAGTAATAACTATTCATTCACGGGTCTTAATTCGCGCAGATGAAGCGAGTAATAACTATTCAATCACGGGTCTTAATTCGCGCGAATGAAGCAAGTAATAACTATTCATTCACGGGTCTTAATTTGCGCGAATGAAGCGAGTAATAACTATTCATTCACGGGTCTTAATTTGTGCGAATGAAGCGAGTAATAACTATTCATTCACGGGTCTTAATTCGCGCGAATGAAGCGAGTAATAACTGTTCATTCATGGGTCTAAATTCGCGCGAATGAAGCGAGTAATAACTATTCATTCACGGGTTTTAATTCGCGCGAATGAAGCGAGTAATAACTATTCATTCATGGGTCTAAATTCGTGCGCTAATTAAGCGATTAGATGATTTTACTTGCGCTTTGTGTGAGTGCCCCATTACAACATCCAACTTCTTACAACAGGAAATCAAACAGACCAGCTGAGACTCACCTTCCACAGTCAGCAGAAGAATCACCTCACGCTTCATCTGACTGAAGTGGACCCGTTCGGGAACTACAGCTCCCCTCACTACAAAGGCACGGCCATGTTTCATAAAGTCCCTCGCGGTCGGCTGGAGTGGCGAGGAGACAGAGCGGTCACGACTGACACGAAGCTCCTGGGAGATCCTGTCTGTAAGCTGTCTCTGACTTTACCCAAGGTGCTGAAGAAGTTCGGAAAACTCCCCTTAGTATTAAAGGTTCTTCACATTAAAGGGGGATTCTGATGTTTTATTGTTTCATTGCAGAAAGTTCGGAAGATTAATCGACCAATCATGGCGAGGGCGAAGTTGTGTGAGGAAACAGGTGGGTGATATACTTAACACTTTTATTCCTGAGAGTGTAAACATGTCTTACACCTCGCCTCTCATCCCGCAGACTCTCTGTCGGACTCTCTTCTTCTCTGGCTCTCCGGGGAACTCTCCGAGGAAGAACTCGCCCCGCTGGTTCTCTCCCTACGTCTCCGCCGTAGCGCCGCCCAGCTGGTGAAGCTCAGGGCCGGGGACAGTCCGTCCAGCCAAGCCTTCCACGTCCTCGCCATGTGGAGGAGAGGGCTGCCCGCCGCCGCGCACCAACCCAAGGCTTCTCAGCTGGCTCACTGCTTAGCCAAGAGCGGGAGGCCGGATCTGGCCCGAGAGCTGCTGCTGAGACAGTCTGGAGCCTCGAGGCCAAGTTTTGTGAAACAAGGGAGCCTGAAAAGTAGAAATTACACAGCTTTTTAGCTGAGGTTCCCACTCAGTTGGTGGTAGTGTTTGATCTGAACCACAAGGGGTCAGCATTGGACTTTGAGATTAAGAGAGAACCGAGAACAGAGTCAAGGATGTCCTAAAATAAAGTTATGAGACTTAAGTCATTTTGGAGCAACACCGTACCTCATGATGAAGTCATAGCCATACAGATGTCACTCTTTTACGGGTTTATTTTTACTCTTAAAGTCAGAGTTTATTTCGTCGTTTATTCTCTCTGACAGGCGGGTGATTTACGCAACCAGTCAGCCGTCTCTCCTCCAAGTGTGTAAACAGACCCTGACACCGAGCTGCGCCCTCTTTTCAGCGCCGTGACACCGAGTCATTTTTGAGGCTTTGACAGCGACTGTGGATGAAAACTGAGCTGATAACACAACTCTGTCTGTGTGTAATTTGTTTTCTTGGTTATTTCACTTCTGACTTTGAAATAAAAATGTTCAGGTTTGAGTTTTTGACAATTTGCACATCATCTTTTCAAATAAAAGGAGAAAGAACTCAAACTAACTTCAAGCTTTAGCCGCCACGGTTTCATAAAGTGCCGTTTAACGATATTAGATGGCGCTACAATGAGTTTTTTCCCCTCACTAAGCAGCAGGCAGGTGCGCGCCGTCTTTTTAACGACACTCAGCAGAGGTTTTCTGTTTCATCCGTCTTCAGAGCCCCTCGCTCCAGCTGTGTGACATTCTGCAGGCCCTGAGCTGAAACAGGGGGGTAATGATAGACGCCATGTGAGCAGGTGGGGGGGACTCCCTATTGAGACGACGGAGACCACCATGAGAAGGGGACTGTTAATGAAGTAGGAAATGGTAACAGGATGATCTTTGTGATGATCTTTTCTGCCCTTCTTTACCTCTGTAGCGTCGCTCTTAAGTGGGAGTTTTGCTCTCTTATTTCTATTCATCCTTCAGCGCTATTATCTCCCCACTTTGCTCCTTTCTTTCCCCTCCAGAGGGAATCCAAAGGACACATGCGGCATCAGGAGCCGGAGAGTTTTGAGCCTCTAAGTGTGTGGGCCAGAGGGGGGTATCATTAGTGTCGCGCAGGGCCGTCGAACACGCCCGCACACACACGTTGAGGGCCTTTGCTCGAGGTAAATGTCACAGAGGGGGCTCCCGCGGTGCCAGGAAATCGTTTCCTCTCTCATTTTGTCTCCTCTTCTACATTATTGAAAAGGCCACGCAGCAAGGCACTCTGGGAGGTTGCCCGTCGTCCATCGGGGGGAGGATACAGAGGGTTGATGAGGTGAGAATTTCCAGCAGAGTGCCGGCGTCGACAGATTTTGATTAAAACTCGTGTGTTTCATCATTCGTTTCATCATCCTTGTTCTTAGCTTCAGAGATCTTTCACTTATTTATTTCTTTTTCCGTCTCGATCAGTCACTACTCGCTGTCAAGATGAGATGCGCTGGCGTGATTGAGATTGAGCGAAAAAAGTCACGTATGAACACACGCGCTGACACCGGAGAAGTTACAAGACTGTTCTGTTCACATCTGGAGGGGATGAAAACCTGTGTTCTCGGTGTCATAGGCTGTTTTAGTCATTAGTCATGTCAGTCAATCTACACTGCAAGCGAACATACCAGCTACGCTTGTGTAAAGACAGTTTAATTGCTTTCTAATTTAAGCAGTAGAAGTTTTGAGGCATTAAGGCTCATTTATGCTCGGCGTACGTATGAAAATGTACGCATCTGTTTCAAACGACGGTTCCGTCACCACCCGCATACTTTCATACGTCCTTTCCGTTGGCATGGATGTTAACAATTACATCCAACAGGGGGCAGGCTGGAGTCAAAGGTTTCTGACTAAATGCCTCACGGTTGGAGAACGGAGAATTCTTTTCCCTAGTAAGACCGATGAGAGATATTGAAGAAGATCCTAAAAAAGCCCCACCTTTGTCTTATTCGTTTGTCTCTAGAGATGCGTTCGGAAAGAGACAGCAGCAACACTGCCCCCACGGTTCACTGTGGTACTGCTCTGTCTGGACCGTATTCATAAACTTATAGGATACGTGTAGAAATACGTATGTATCTGGATCGGTATGTAACATTGAGCATAAATAAGCCTTAAAAAGGACTTCATGTCAACAACGACTCTAGATTTAACATTTCAGAGTTACTGAAGAAAAACCCTTCAACCCCTTAAACCCTCAACTCCCCCTCCAACTCAAAAATGTGACTAAGTGCCACCTAAAAATGTCATTTTCTTTTACAGTAAGTTACTGTCATTTTACTGCTGTGACATTTCGACGAATGGATGGAACAAGAAGAAAAGTCGAATGGCTGTTGGTACAAAAGATCTTCTGAAGAGAGAGGAGCCGTCCACCACCATTGGCCCTTTGGTCCATCAAGGTGTTGTGAAGTGGGTGATCCATGTTCTTCTGAATAGTCTCCACCTTCCTCAGTGTAGATCTCTCCACCACATCCTCCACTGAGTCCAGCTTGAGTCCAACCACAGAGTCAGCCTTTTTCACCAGTTTGTTCAGACGTCTTGCATCTTTGTGTTTGACGCTTCCTCCCCAGCAGACTGCAGCGTAGAACAGAACACTGTAGACACTACAGACTGATAAAACATCTACAGATGTCTATTGAAGTCTATATTCTTAGACCAGTCCAACTTATTATCCAGATGTACACCAAGATATTTTTATGATTTCACAGTTTTGATGTCCTCTCCACAGGTGTTCACTGGCTGAAGAGGCGGTTTGGATCTACGGAAGTCTATGACCATTTCTTTTATCTTAGAGGTGTTGAGGAGGTTTAACATTTATACAGCTGTTTCAGTCATTAGTCATGTCAGTCAATCAACACTGCTCGCTAAACCGCCCAATACGCTTGTGCAAGGACGGTTTAATTGCATTTTAACTTAAACTGTAGAAGTGCGGGGGATCAAAAAGAAGACGAATCATCATGGAGATTAAATTTGGATGTGTGGGGTTATCATCACTCGATCCTTAAACCCTTTAAACCCTTAAGTTAGGTTAATCTATTCAATTTGTGTTTTTATCTTCTTATGCAACTCAAAAATGCTGCAAAGTGCCTTTTTCAATCTGTCATTTTCTTTTACAGTAACTTACTGTTATTTTACTGCGGTGACATTTCGACGAATTGATGGAGCTTTTTAACACTCGCAGCATTCCTGTTAAGTAAGGACACCATAAACTAGTAAAAAAAAAAAGGTGTATGATAGCAGACTAGTTTTGTCAACTTATGTTTTTCAAATCAGGACCTCTATTTTTAAAATGTAATCAGGAAGCTACAAGACTTAGGATCCCCCCGGGGGGATTCAGGTCATCATGTGGAGTTGAGTCCTGTGGTGAGCGAAAAATGGAGACAGACCCAGTCATACAAAAAAACAAGGATGGATCAAATCTCAGGGGTGAGTCCGTGTGAACGGGGGTGATAGATATAGAGGGGGGGGAAACCTCTCAGGTGTGCTGGTCAGTGGTCCGTGGCAAACTCTTCATTTGTCCCTCGTTTCAGAGCGGCAGGCGGGGCAGCTGTGGGCTGGATGTTCCTGCCCTGAAAGGACTCGAGTTCAAATTGCCGTGAGCGAAAATTGACACAGATTTTCGACTTACTTTCATCACGGCTATGGATATTATTCAAGTGTACAGTGTGAAACGGTAGTCGTAATAAAGCTAAAGGGAACTATTCCCCCATCTCTTCATATTAACTACAGAGCTTCAGGCTACAGTAGTTTTCTGCTCGTCTGCCTCAGCAGGCGAGAAACCAGCTGATGATTATTCAGTAGGCATTAGCAGCTGTAAAGAGCCACTGGGAAATCTGTGAATGATGGTCAGAAACAGGAAATGTTCGACGCCGCTACCCGTTTTTGGAAAAATCTGTGGTTTCTGAGCAGGAAGATCTAAAAACACCCGAGAAACCCTCCAAGATGATCTGAGATAAGGGGTGAAATATCCGGGGGAAAAGTGAGAAAAGGTTTGGGATGATGGAGAGGGAAGCAGAGGGAGCAGCAGCAGGGGTGAAGATGTGCGAGAGGAGTGATGGAAGAGCGAATAAACAGAAGAGAAGAGATGATAAAAAAAAGGGGAGGAGGGGGGACAGAGCTCGCGAGAAGGTGTGACGTGACGGGAGAGGAGGTGTAGCAACACTGTGTCCACTGGTGTGTGAAACCGGCCTGACATCTGCAGAGTGTGTTTGTGTGTATGGAAGCGTGATCACTCGCCATGGAGGGTCATGGAGACCGGCTCCATTTCTCCTCTGAGCGCAAAAAAACACAAACACCTCCGGTTTGGCTGAGAGGATGTTTCCAGGGTTAGAAGGTCAGGACAAGTGCATTACTCAGGCTGCCATGACAGTTACACACACACACACACGCATGTGAGCGTAGGCACTGACTCACCAGAGTTTAGACTGAGGCTACTTGAACATAAAAATTCATTCGCCGCTTTTGCATTGTAATCAGATGAGATTTGGCGTGTGACTTGTCCTGACAGAACAGATTTTCAGCGTTTCCAGACTCCGCATGTGTGCCGATGACTTCCCATTCAAAGCTGTTGGCAGGTTGTTCAGATCACAGTCGCAGTTGTCTGACTGTAAGATCAGCCATAATAACAAAGCAGCTCTTTTCTCTGGATTTAGTCCTTTTGAAAACAGTAGACTTCAGTCGGTTGGTAGTCCCCAATTTTATGGAAGCAAATTTGTATCATAATTCAAATGGAAATAGATTAAAAGAAATGCATTTGCATGTTCAGAAAGGACCTGCACTTCTTGCCACCTCCACCAGCTCCTCCAGGGGGATTCCCAGGCACTCCCAGGCCAGGTAAGAGATATAACCCCTCCACCTGGTCCATGAGGTCTCCTCCCGGCTCTTTCTTCACCACGACAGATCGGTAAGTGTCCGCACTACTGCTGACGCCGCTCCGATCCGCCTGTCGATCCCCTGCTCCATCTTACCCTCAAACGCATTTGCAGTATGGCTTTTTCGTTCCAAAGTCAAAACTGCATAATCTCTAAGGCACAATGGGTGGCCACACAAAAGTCAGAGAACCATCATTTTGACCAAGTGGCGGCGCTCCCTGTGGCCCCAAAAGGTCTCACCGTGCTGGGCAGGCATTCTGGCACAAGCCTCGCCATTAGCTCTGGAGCCTCCTGCTAGCTCGCCTGTCACACAGTTTAAGTTTTTAAGGTGAAGTAAATTTGCACTTGCAGAGTTCGGACAGCGACAGGCGAAAATGAAAAAGCAATTGCCCCTTTGGTTTCTCTTTTGAATTGTGCTACAAAAGGCTTAAATAAGAAAATAAAAATGCAGTTTGTATTATTTATTCTTAATTTTATTTCTTAGTCAAATTATACACCTTTGGAATTGAGTTTTGGTACATATTTTCTGGGGTATATTTTGAGAATAAAATCTCAAACGGCTTTTTCTTTTTCATTTGAATTAAGTTACAGAATGATCATTTTTGAAAAAGAAAAAACAATTGCAGTTCGGATTATTAATTTTTATTTCATTTGAGTCATTTCTGTTAATGCCTTTCTATTTTCATTTGAATTATGATACTAATTTGCTTCCATACGATCTTAATCCTGCACCATCTAAAAATCAAGATTTGAGACGTCTGATGTAGATTCATGTTGGCTATAAGGAAATATTTAATCTGTTATCTTCTTTGTGTACAAAGTTCAGGCCGTCTTTTGTTGAAGATGAGGTTTATAGACATTTGTGCATGACGCAAATCATTCCTCTCTGTCACACTAATGCCAGCGTCAGTGGCTGACAAACCCTGCAGCTCCAGACCCTTTCGTTTAATTTGGGTGCAAACTCAGAAGCTATTGTGATATAATAGCTGCTCTGAAAATGACAGGAGGTGCAATCCACTTATTTTTTGAATAATATGTAAACCCTTTTTTTATTTAGCGTTATGGATTCTGGGACTCTGGAGGCCTCAAATGCCCTTTAGATGAAAAACAGTCTGAGATGATGTTTGCTGCACATCATTGTCTGTTTATAGTGAGTGCATTTCCTCAGTGGGCACTTGAACGCAGCATCGGTTTGTTCATTTCCCCTATTTCCTGAGGCCATTTCCGTGACAATCAGTCATAACTATTACTCTCCTATTGGATGCTGATCACAAATTAAAACCAGAGGATGCAGATGGATTCAGTTTTTAACTTTCATTGAAAGTTCATCGCGGATCGCTCTCCCGGACACTTAATTTATCATTAACAGATGATGTCAGATAGTTCGCCCCGCGCAGGTCTCATAAATCCCTGTTATGTTTCATAACCAGCTGTCCTTTCTGCTCACTAATTCCACCTGTGCCCCGAGGTCCTGTAATGCAGACGACCCTTACTGTCGAGTGGTCTCATTTCTTTCAGCGTGAGGCCCCTGAAGTGGACTTGAAACAGCCGAGCGCCGGGGTTACGTTTCCAAATAAAGATGAGGTTTTCAACAAGCTTTAATGTCGCTGCTAAAATCTCTGTAAAGATTGACCTGTAAATAGTGCCGTTATTGCTTTGTGTGTGCGGTATGGATGTGCATAGTTGTTTGCACTGTGTAGGCAGACGCCGTCTAGAGGGTGTTTACTTTAGTTGTAAAGGTGACCCTGGTCTATACGTCGTTATTCACTCTGCTTTGTGTCGGGAGAGAAAAGAAAATGACACAAGATGAAAACAGGCAACCATGTCTGTTTTCTGACCACACAATGGCACACAATTACTGTCTTTACTCCTCAGACTGTTAAAGACATTGACTATATGGCAGCGATGTTGATGTGTTCACCGTCAAAAGGTGCCTCCCTGGATCTGTGAGCTACCTGCAAACCCAAATGTGCACTTCTGCATCCCTGTACCATCACAGATGCTGGTTTTTCAACTGTGTGTCAATAACACGCCAGCTGGTCCCGCAGCGCCTAAGAATGGAAAATGCAGAAGAAGAAAAAGGGGAAGAAAAAGAATTAGAAGGGAAAGAAAAAGTAGAATAAATCGAAGAAGATGAAGTAGAAGAAAAGGAAGAAAAATGAGTAGCAGAAGTAGAAGACGAAAAAAGTTTTAGTAGTAGTAAAAGAAGAAGTAAAAGAAGTAGTAGAAAAAGAAAAAGGAAAAGAAGAAAAGGAAGAAAACAAAGTTGTAGTAGCAGAAGAAGTAAAAGTAGAACAGGAAGAAGAAGAAGTAGAAGAACAATGAAAAATAGTAAAAGAACTGGAAGAAAAAGTAGTAGAAGAGGAAGAAGAAAAGGGAGAAAATGAAAAAGAAGCAGAAGAAGGAGGAGGAAGAAGAAGAAGAAGTAGTAGTCGAAGAAGAAAAAAAGAGGAAGAAGAAGAAAAAGAAGTGGAAGAAGAAGTGATCGAAGAAGAAGAAGAACAAGAAGAAGAATAAGAAGTAGAAGAAGAAAAAGGAAATATTAAAAGAACTTTATAAAGAAAAAGGAGAGAAGGAATAAGAAGAAGAAGAAGAAGAAGAAGAAGAAAAAGAAAAGTAAAAGAACAAGAAGAGAAAAAAGTAGAGGAAGAATTGGTAGTCAAAGAAGATGAAGAAGAAGTAAAAGAAGGAGAAGTTGTAGAAAAAGAAGTAGTAGAAGAAGTAATAGAAGAAGAAGGAAAAGAAGAAAAAGAGGAAGAAGTAGAAGAACAAAGAGTAGAAGAAGAAGTAGAAAAAGACAAAACAGAAAAAGAAAAGGTAGTAAAAGAAGTAAGAGATGTAAGACTTTCCAGCGGTTGTGTTTACAGACAAGAGTTTATGTCATTGATTTTGAGCCTGTAAGGTGATTTCTATTATAGAGTCCTCCACATCAATATTACAGTGGCGCTTTAAAAGCGCAGCCAAAAACTGCAATGGATATGTGCCGCTTATGACATTGCAGCAGTCCCTTTAAAAACCCTGGGTTACATCTGCTGCTCTGTTTCATGTTTCATGAGTTTCATGAGCACCTTGTTAGTCTCCACCATGAGCCAACAGACTGTCTGGTTTGCTGACCTCTCCCTAGCCTACGATCTTTCACCCTTTTGGCCGGGACTCAGCACGGTGGTTGCACAGCGGAGTGAAAGAGGTTAATCATGGCGCACAAACATCTGGCCGTGACGTGTTGGGATATCTGTATTTATCTGCAGGAGAACAGTTTATTACTGCAGGATCTCAACCATTTATTGGGCTTGGTAGCACAAACATTTTTAATTTAAGGTAATTTTTCAGGAAGAAAAACACACAAAATTGACTAACTTGTCGAGCTGTCCTTAAATAAGTTAGTTAGCAAACTTCTGACACCAAAAACATTGAATTGTTTTGTTCTGTGCAAGGACGCCCTTGACGTTGTAACCCTCATCTGTTTTTTTTGTCTCTCAAACTGGTTAATATTTGTATCATTATCGACCCAAAAAGCCACTTATATGTTGTTTTTTATCTCCTACCACCGTGCTTTGACATCGTTCACCTTAATTTTTCAGCATCTTTTCCTACCTCCAGACTAAATCTGTTGCTCTCTCAGTTTTCTCTGCTTAAAAAAACACACCCAGCAGAAAGTTCACTGTAAATTAAACATCTTGAGTAAAAATGAAGATTGCATCTGTTTTATTTATAGTGTTGGTAATCGGCAGTATGCTCATATGGTTTATATAATTGATGTTCAATGTGTAATAGGGCCTTTTGCTGCAATATGTGTGTGGTTATGTTTGTAAGACTCAATGCCTCAGCAGAGATGATAGCTGCAGGCTACAACACAGCGAGCGAGTAGTAGTAACAGTAAATATTCACATCATAATCAACTTAATGAGCAGTGGCACTACAGCAATTTGGTAGTGCTAGGAGGTCTCTCTCTTCTCCTGTCTGATTCTTAAACTCTTTTCATTATTTTATCCAGATATTTTATTTTGTCTGCGTTTGTGTGTCTGTGTGTGTGTTTCGTTCCCCCTCCTCTGTCAGGTCCCTGAGCTGTCATTTCTCCTCTCTTTAAAGCATCAAAGTCTTCGCACAGGCCTTTAAATTATTTGACAGACGGAGACAGAAATCTGTGAACAAACACTCGCACACGCTCGCACATCTCAACTGACACTCGTGAGTAAACACTGAGGGAAATGAAGCATGCAGTGTTATCTTAAGGTCAAAGCCAATACATCATTATAACCTTCAGACCTCTGTATCAGCCTGTATGTTGACATACTCTATATAGAGGGTCGACATTAAGTATGAATGAGCGGGTTCATCCCTGACAGCATTTGAGCGCTCACTAAGACGTGTTACAGTTTCAACTTTTTGTCTGGTTATGAATGATACACGGAAAAACTGCTTATCGCACTTTTTTGCAAGACACCTGACTTTGTTAAATACTTGATTCTGATTGGTCAAAACCCCCAAACAATTGTGATTTACTCTGAAAAGTAAAAGCGATGCCATGTCATATCAAACTAGTACATGCAAAGGATTGCAGCTTGTGATTTCACCGCTTCCTGTTTACTATTAGAAAAAATACGATATTATCATAATACTTGGGCCACAATACAATATTATCACGATACTTGGGCCACGATACAATATCATCATAATACTTAGGCCACAATACGATATTATCACCATACTTGGGCCAAGATATGATATTATCATGCATGATACTTAGGCCACGATACGATTTTATCACAATACTTGGCCACGATGCAATATTGTCATGATACTTAGGCCACTGTATGATATTTTCACAATACTTGGGCCAGGATACAATATTATCATGACACTTAGGCCACAATTCGATATTATCACAATACTTGAGCCAAAATGCGATA